GAGCACCGCTGGACAGAATGCCTTGAAAAAATTCACCCAGATGCCCACCGAGGGATACATATCGCGCTTTAAAATCTCTAGGCTGTAGGCCCAATAGCAAAGGGCAGATAATTGAAAATTAATTCAAAAATTTCAAATGCAAATGCAAATATCTCCAAAACTAATGCTCCAATGTTTGCCAAAGTTCTGGAGCAGATGCGTAATCAAAATGGCTACAATTTTGCCTGGATGGCTCAAGTCGCTAAAATGCACCGTTTGGACGCTATGTTGGATTGAAGTTTTGTTGATGTTTTTAAGCAAAATGCTGACTACTTTCCTCCCAAAATGTGCTCCACTGAAACTACAAGGGCTACGGCTTTCAAACGTTGCATACTTTGTGTCTATGCATGTTCCTACACAGTAGCATCGTCAAATGTGCCTATGTTTATATGATGGTCCGCCATATTGACGCTACTTTTGGGCAAAAGTTGTCTTCAAAACTTTCACGGGCTTCTTTGCCATGTTGTGCCAAACTAAACTTAGCACATGCAACAGTTTAAACGCTTTGTTCTGAAGTGGCCTTTGGTTGTTAAACATTTTCTGTTCTTGGTCCAATGTCAAAAGTCACTGGCTTTCAAGCTTAAGGCTGATCAAAATATCTGTTCAACATTATCCGTGTGGAATACAACGTATGGGAGCTAAAGAAAAAAAAACTATTTGAGACGAGCCCCAAATGAAAGAAAAAGAGTACCAAACAAACTGACCCACAACTCCAGGCAGAACACGCTAAGCATCACGCAAAAAGGCTTCCAAGAACGTACCAGTCATCATAAATTATACTTACACTCAAAACTCCAAAGTTTGGAGAGATTTAATGAAATAGGGACTTCTTTATATCACCGACGGCCCAGGGATACATTGCCGAAAGTGTCATAAGTTTTTCACACATTTACGGCACGGCAGATTACCCGTGGAAAGCATGCGACAGTCTGAAGAAAAGCGCAAGGGACGATTATAGCCGGCTCCTTCAAAACGCGCACTGTTTGTTATCGATTCTACACAGACGCGAGACAAGTTGTGCACGCGTTTATTCACCGCGGTCAGCATGGATAGCACTTGAAAAGTAATAGGTAAGTATGCAGTCATAACATCTACATCTATATCTACATATCAACATGTGCATGGGAAGCCTTGGCGACACTTTGCCGGCTTAATTTCCCCCTCATGATGTCCTATAAAAAGACTACCACTGCAAAGCGTGGTTCACGTGCAGATATGGGAGACGATGCCAATTTCAATTGAAAATGACGAGAGCTGGCGGCCAAGCTGGTGTTAAATTAAACTTTCCATTTTTTCACAAATATGTGCGTTATGCTCTAAAAATATATACATAACTGAACGTATGTCTCTCCAAACCATTGGTGGAAATAAAGAACATTCATTCATTCATTCATTCATAAATGAATTGAGTATTTTTAGAGAACACTATATGCTATGATATATGACCACCTTCATTGTGGCACAATAGTTGTGTTTACAAACAATTAAATGTGAATCATGACTTGTCATCTACATGTAACAGCATTTAATGCAGACCAAGAGTATAACAATGTAATGTTGGCACAGACCTAATACCAATGTTATTAATAGTAAGAAGATCTGTTATGTGCCAAAAATCCCATAGCGCTAGGCAGAATTAATATACAATGCAGTAGAGGTGTTATATCTTCATAGTAATTCAATCTTTTGGAAAAGGTATGGCTTTAGGCAGCTTTAAAGACTGTCAATGAGTGAGCGTTCCGGGTCATGGTAAAAGTTGTAGCTGTGGTCTAAGGGGGGTAACTCTGGTCTAGCTGAAGTAAACGCTAGTAAAATCGTTCAACACCGACCAGGCGCCGGCTTTACAATGCCCGAAGAGTAATACGCTTTATGGTAACAATTCGGTGCTGTTTGCATGGATTTTAAAACTTCATAGGTGACCTGTATCGCGGTTATTTGCGTGTATTTCCAGTATATATACCTGCTCTCGATTCACAAATTCAGTTGCAACAGCCCGAGTGTAACAGTGTAATGGATACTGATACAAAACTACTGAAATACCTTAACTGCTGTGTAATCACAAGTTCACTTGCGGAGAGTGGAGTGTGACTGACTGATTGAGTTTAGTTTTACGCTGCAGTCAGCAATATTCAAGCTATATTGCAGTACTTTATATCACCGACAGCCAAGGTTTATATTACCGAATGTGTCATAGGTTTCTCCCACATTAACTATACAGCAGGTTACCCGTGATGCGGAAACCTGCGACAGTCTGAAGAAAAGCGCGGGACGATTATGGCCGCTTGCAAAGCATGCGACAGTCTGTAGGAAAGCGCGAGGACGATTATGTCTGCTCCTTCAAACACGAGGAACTCAAGCTGTTTTTATCGACTCCCCACACACGCCAAGCAGGTTGTACCGCGTTTATTCACCGTGTCAGCATGGATAGTTATGGAAAACTAATAGGTAAGTATGCAGTCACAACATCTACATCTATATTTACATATGAACATGTGCATGGGATGCCTTGGCGACTCTTTGTCGGAGTAATATTCCTCTCATGAAATGTCCTATAAAGAAACTACCACTGCAAGCGTGGGTCCACGGGCAGATATGGGGAGGCTATGTTAATTTCAATTGACAATGACGAGAAGTGTGTTGCTTCAGCGTAAAAGCTATGTAAGAATGCAAATACCGCTCACGGCAATGGACGATTTATCTCCTTTAGACAATGAAAATCTTATAAAATCCATTACAGAATTATATAACTGAAACTAACCGCTTTTACGAATTCAAGTAACAACGATAAAACATAAAATGCACTTGGTATCTTGTTGTTTATTTTCTTTTCTTTATTTTTATTTTGTTTTGTCTATTGTCTAGGGTTAATTAGCTAAAGTAACCCAAAGTGGACACATTTTTCTTGACTTTGTTTTTACACCGACTTAGGATGTCCACGCCACGAAAGTATACCCCTACTGGAGTACCTTAGTTGCTGTAAAACCACATGTTCGCTTTGTGTCAGCGTGAGAGGAACAGCGTTATGGATATTGATAAACGCTACAGAAATACAGAGCACGAGTGCTTCGTGGTCGATATGTCTATTTGGTTGCTGTTGATATTTAGATGGAAATGGTGTCTACCAACAGTGCAGAAAAAATCCGCACTAAACCTCGCCAGGTACCTCTATCAGTAGGCAATGCACCATAATAAAGAGCACGAGGATGTCATTCTTTCGGTAAAATGACACATGAGTTGTGTTGACTGACCGTTAAATGTGAATCACGACTTGTCAGCTACATGTGACGTACATTTACATTCACATAATGTCAGTCACAGTGAACCTTTCAAATTATTTAGTTCAGGCCACAAAATTTTCTGTTTCTCTGACTGTTTGAACAAAGGGTTCTTCTGTTTTGATATTCATGATACCTAAGTGATATTATTTAATGTACGAAAATAGGTTTTGTGATGAGTTTCTCGAAACTGAATGACCTCCCAGTACTTCCAGTCGAAGAGCATTTGACTAGCAGTGATATGATTCATATTAACGAATACCTCTCTTACATTCATGAGATATGTAAGAGATGCAAAAGGCTCCAAAGAAGTAAATCCAAGGAGCCCTACATCGCTGCTCGCAGCTATATTTTGTTTCTGTTTTTGTTTGTTTCACACAGCACTGAGCAATATGCCAGCTAAATGGTGGAAGTTTGTAAATAATTGAGTCTAGATCAGACAATCCAGCTGTCAACATAATGAGCATCGATCTACACACCTGGATCTTCGCGAGTGTGAATGTTTCCAGCTAACAGGAATATCTACTTACATGATGGTAAAAAGTGGACCCTTGACAAAATATAAGTATCCAGCCTGTATTTTCATGACGTGTGTTCACTGTCTTTGCAGATGAATCAGCTGAATATCTTAGACGTAAACTCTTGGTACACAATGAACGGCCATCTTGCAGACAGTAACATGACAGTACAAATGTTCAGCTAATATTGCCACGTAAGTTATTCAGCATTTACAGTGGAAACCTGATAAGTAAACTTTCATGGGACTCGCCAAAATTGTTTACTTATCAGGTATTTTACTTATCCAAACTCATCAAAACCTGCAAATGACAACCATATGCATGTATATGTATACATATGTAACAATGAACAACTTATCAGGGCTGGCCTCCAGTTGTCAGTGTATTGTCAACTGCTTGACGCCAGCAAGCTGTAAGTAGGATGTTTGTTTGACTGGAGACTGACACGACTGCCCCTCATGTCGGATTATGTGGTGATCGCTAATTTAGTTATCCAGTCTCTTTTGTTAAGTAAGTATTAAGCAGTATTGTTTACTTATCCGAGTTTAGTTAACCAGACTCTAATAGTGATAATTAATGAAGAAATTTGCCGGGACCAAAGCAAAGTGTTTACTTATCAGGTCTGTTTAGTTAAGCGGTCTTTACATAGGCGGTTTCACTGTATACTGAGTTCCATAAAGTGATGGTAGATCTATGACTGTCTGTGTTCAAATATAGCAGTAACGATCACCTTAGTGCTACGAATGCTTGGTGCAATAGGGCCCAGTTTGTCGACAAGAGGCAGCTTTCCAACACTAATAACACTGCACCCAGTACTACCTCTGATACATGACCTCACTCCATACTATACTCAACAGTCTGTACCTGACAACTCATTAAATACGATGGTGAGGAACTAGTTAGTTGACAACCAGAATACATATACCTGGATATTTAAAAATGCTGACATCAGCAACATGTGTGAAGCATGTACATACACAAAAATAGAGGAATAAGTAAGAATCCCTGGATGGTAAATTAGGTGAGAAAGTTTTGCACAGTCAGCAACATTCAAGCCATATCACTGCTACTTTATCTGTAAATACCTGGACCAGACAAGCCAGTGACTGATGGCACACAACATGCATGTGATCATGTGACCTGGTGTATGACCCACTACGTGTCTCACCTTGACATTGGCCAGCTGCTGCTGCTCTGTGACGTATCCAGCATCAGCGTGCGCCTGCAGGTCCGCCAACTTGTGTAGGATGGCATCGAAGGGTCCTTGTTCATCCAAGGGGCGATTCACGTCCAGCTGCCAACACAAGTACTTACTATCAATACTTATCTGCTGTAACTGAAGAACCTACCGACACCTCATAACCTAACATATGGTCATATATATACAACTAAAACATATGTCACATAAATCCTATATACAGTCCAGCACCGTTGTCTCGATATTCATGGGACCAAGCAAAAATATTGAGTTATCCGAACTTCGAGACATCCGAACAGGGCATATCATCACATATCACTATGTCCGAAAGAAAAGAAAAGAATTTAGAAACAACTCAACAATCACATGCTAGTCACGTGATTACACAAAACCCTCATTGGAATCTCAGTATGTTTTGATTCGAAACTATAATCCGTTATCAGTAGTGTTTAGTCGTAACAGTGAGTACTTCCTAAATAATTCCTTCTTAATTAAACTTAATTAAATAACAAACAAGTGACACCTTTAACTAACTTAGCCCTAATTAGTTTACACTACCGCATCCATTTGATTCATGCCGCACCGTGTGTAAACGTGTGGAAACAACGTCAGTTCAGAGGGATACTTGCCATGAAAGGTAGGTGAATATCGAGTTTCTTTGCAAATATCCAGTTAAAAGGGTAATTTTGCTTGTTGGGACCATGAAATTATATCGAGATATCCAAAATATCAAGACATCCGTATTGAGTTAAAAGAGCTTGAATAATGATAAATTATGAAGGATTTTGCCGGGACTGAGATGTTATATCGAGACAACCGAGATATCGAGTTATCAGAGTTCATCACAACGGTGCTCGACTATGTATATATGTCACAGGGCAAACCGTTTGGATTTTCAAATTCAAACTTCAAGATTAAAACCTGTAAGCATTGCAAATTCCCAGCTACGTTCTAATATAATCAGATCCAACATGAGAGAAGCAGGCCTAAATGTACTTAAGTGTGAAACATACACCACATTACACTGAAACAGGAAAAGATACACAGTATCTGTCGTGTTATGAGCAGTAGGTACAATCTTCCTTGAAGACACTGGCTTTATCACCGCACAAACGGCTATAGTTTGAATATGCCAGACTAAATTCAAAGGCAAATGCCCCTTTAATACAAATGACATCTCCCAGTGGCTACTGTTAGTGGTCGTCGGACGTCATGTTGTGCTGCTCGATCAACGTAATTGATTATCTCTTCATACTGAGTGTGACTAAACTCATTGCAGGGGCGGCTTCTAATTACAAATTAACTTGTACATTACTTAATCAATACTGCTTCTCTGAAGGCTACTTAATAGCATCATTCTGATGCACAGCTGAGACGATGTTGTACATCTCACAGTCCACACACTACTGCTTTCATATGGAATTCAGGAGAATACCATGCTAATATCTTCCAAAACCCCTTAACGACAAATTTCAAAACATAATGCAGATTTTAAAAAGTAAAACTATCTGAAATAACATGAAGACACACTGAATGCATTACCCTAAACATCATTATTTGTGTATTTCCAGTAAGGTAATTACTGCCACAGTTTAAGTAAACATCCATGTTTCATACATGCAGCCATAGTTCCATGCAGGCAAGCATTTCCCTAATATTTGGGGAAGTAAGTCATCAAGTGCCCTTTAACATCACTCAACGTAAATCCCAAGTAATAAGATTGGTCAGTGAGCCCACTTTCCCTTTGAGTCTGACCGTTTGTCTGGACGCTGGTAGTTACATCAGTTGTCGGCATCGATCACATCTCATTCATCAGAAGTGAGGTCCCGTTTGGGTTGTATATTGCCTTGTGTTCACATCACAAGATAATAATGGAAATTTGTTTTGATTTTACTACTGGGCCCTGTTTGGGTACTATATTGTCATTGTACACATCATGACGTATCTATAAAGAAGCAGTAAGGCCCTGTTTGGGTTTATATGTCTCGTGTTTACACCACCACACATCTTTCAAAAACTACTGAGGTCCTGTACAGGTTGCTTACTCTTAGTATTGCCACCACAACACATCAGAATATAATGAGGCTCTGTTTGGGATGAATACTGTCTCGTATCCACTTTGTCTCACTTTATCACAGTGTACTTCAAATTAAAAATAGGATTATATATCATTCTGGAAGCAAAATATTTTTGTTGGCCAAAGGTTAGTGCAGAATTTTCTTGTTCCTGGAAAGATGTCATGGAATGGTAAACAAGTAATATAATGGTAAACAAGTAATATATCGTGTTTGTACGCTATGGTCCTGTTGTCCCATTTTCTAAAAGCTGGCGGATCAAGCAAGGCATAATTAGAGACTTTGTTCAACAGATAAGTTCGTGTTTAGAACATGCCAGCTGGGGGCATCTATGAATATTTCAGTGTACATGAATCTATCCCCTACATCTGTCCAGACGGCAGTCTTTACCTCCACAACAGCTGGAGGTGTATGGGTCCCACATCTGACACCAGCCTTGTAAGGTAGGATATTAAACTACAATGTGACACACATACTATACTACCTATACAATGTTCAAACTGTCACTAAGAAATAAACCTCCTGTTCACATGTTGCAGACCAACCATCATCAAGGGTAGGTCATGTCCACTGAATAACAGAATCCATCAAGTTTAGTATCACACCCCCGGCATTTCCTCCACAATCAATGAGGGAAAGAATAATCGTAATGTCACAACGACCTCCAAATTAAGTTAGTGTAACATGAATTCAGCAATTATTGCATGAGTCAGAAGAGAGAATTTCTTCCAGAATGTCCACATTCCTGTAGTGTGTTGTGTTGGCAATGCGTCGTGATAGAAGATGAAGGGAGGAGTTATACATAATAACTCTCATCAACAACCTCATGTCCTGTCCAACAGTCACAGTAAATCATGGTTTTATTTCAGTATGAAACACACACATAACATCTACTGTTTGTTGCCGGTGTCTACATTCATGATCATCCTCAGCTGGTCAGGTTTTAGCCTTGTAATCCGCATACACTCTCCTGATCAGCAGCCCAGTAGCCCGGTGTACATCCCCAGTAGCCCAGTGTACATCCCCAGTAGCCTGGTGTACATCCCCAGTAGCCCGGTGTACATCCCCTGTAGCTCGGTTGAACACCGTCATTATCCTACTTAGTGGGCTCAACATGTTTAAGGCTGTCCCTGGCCGATATTTAGGGTAGTTAGTCTGTCTAAGGCTGACATCCTAGAATTACCAACAGCTTAATTATACATCTCAAATGAAAGAACATTTAAGCCACGATAAATTCTTTAGTGCCAGGCATTTCTGTCTAGTTAAAAGACATCTGAGATATTTGGGGAATTCATTCCTAACCCAAAGACTTGTGGAAGAAGTATTTACCCCGTCAAAGTGTGTTTGTATGTGCAACAGAAGTATTTACCCCGTCAAAGTGTGTTTGTATGTGCAACAGAAGTATTTACCTCGTCAAAGTGTGTTTGTATGTGCAACAGAAGTACGAAACCATATTCATTACAAAAACCATTATTTCCACTAGTTTGCTACTAAACTAGAATACGGCACTGATAATACTTCACAGGTGTGTATACACTACATAATGATGATGATGATGATGATGATGATGATGATAGACTAACAGTTGTCATCTAGTTCAGTAAGGCAATACTTGGTCTACCTTCACAAACAGAATTGCATTTGCCACAATATCCAGTCTTTGTAGCCTGAAACTACACAATTGAGCCACTTTGAGGGCTATCATTCTGAACCAGTTCTCATTGTTTCAATTTTACTACAAACAAGAAACTGAATAAAACCAACATTACATGTAAACAATTTGTGTTGTTCTTGCAGGACAAACTACAAAGTCTGAGGACTACTGAAATATGGTATGCACTTGTCCTGATAAAACAAATATAATGCTGTATAGTACAGCTACTCAATAGTGACTGAAGAGCGGACCAGGATAACAACCACTGACAATCAGGGATCCTCACTCTGGATCTAACTCTGGATCCTGACTCAGGATCCTCACTCTGCACATGGGCCTTGGGGTGCGAACTAGCCATTTTCAGATATGATTCAGTTTAAGCATTTGACCTGAATATATTGTAATTCACACTCAGCACAGCAGTTCAATACACAGTCACTCCGTGAGCCTCAGCTGTTGGAGGAGAATAATGACTCATCCAGATCTCTTCAGTTATATCCAAGTTCTGTCAGTCCTCAACTGAGTTATAGCCAAGTCATATCAGTCCTCAACTGAGTTATAGTCAAGTCATATCAGTCCTCAACTGAGTTATAGCCAAGTCATATCAGTCCTTAACTGAGTTATGATCCTTATATATAGCTAAGTCATATCAGTCCTCAACTGAATCAGTCCTCAACTGAGTTATAGCAAGTCATATCAGTCCTCAACTGAGTTATAGCCAAGTCATATCAGTCCTCAACTGAGTTATAGCCAAGTCATATCAGTCCTCAACTGAGTTATAGCCAAGTCATATCAGTCCTCAACTGAGTTATAGCCAAGTCATATCAGTCCTCAACTGAGTTATAGCCAAGTCATATCAGTCCTCAACTGAGTTATAGCCAAGTCATATCAGTCCTCAACTGAGTTATAGCCAAGTCATATCAGTCCTAACTGAGTTATAGCCAAGTCATATCAGTCCTCAACTGAGTTATAGCCAAGTCCTCAACTGAGTTATAGCCAAGTCATATCAGAGTTATAGCCAAGTCAACTGATATCAAGTCATATCAGTCCTGAGTTATAGCCAAGTCATATCAGTCCTTAACTGAGTTATAGCCAAGTCATATCAGTCCTCAACTGAGTTATAGCCAAGTCATATCAGTCCTCAACTGAGTTATAGCCAAGTCATATCAGTCCTCAACTGAGTTATATACCAAGTCATATCAGTCCTCAACTGAGTTATAGCCAAGTCATATCAGTCCTCAACTGAGTTATAGCCAAGTCATATCAGTCCTCAACTGAGTTATAGCCAAGTCATATCAGTCCTCAACTGAGTTATAGCCAAGTCATATCAGTCCTCAACTGAGTTATAGCCAAGTCATATCAGTCCT